CTACCGTGGTGCACACAAACACCACGCTCCACACATGACCTGCCAGCCCGCATAGACAGCATCCAGACCTTCAAAAACAGCCAAACCCTGAACCCTAAACCCCTAAACCCCAAACCCTAAACCCTCAACCCCTCAACCCTAAACCCCTCAACCCTAAACCCTATAAACCCTAAACCCTAAACCCCTCAACCCTAAACCCCATAAACCCTAAACCCCTCAACCATAAACCCCTAAACCCTAAACCCTAAACTCCTCAATCCTAAACCCCAAACCCTAAACCCCTCAACCCTAAACCCCTAAACCCTAACGTAGAGTCCTGGGTTCTGCATGGGGCCGAGGTCGACCTCGCCAAATTTGGAGGCCTGGCGTCGGTGCTTCGAGGGTTTTCTAGCAATTTAGGGTTTAGGGTTTAGGGGTTTAGGGTTGTTCCTCAAAGTTCTTTATAAGCCTCTCTATAAGTTCCCCTGAAGATCTAAAAGCCTACCGTTTTAAGGGTTCTACCCTCTGATTACGGGGTCAGAACCTACTATCTTATAATATGGGGTTGGGGTCACAGGTCTTTGCTGTTGCATAGGTTATAGGGGCTTATTGTATAGGGTGTTGGCGTCCATAGGACCTTAAACCCTAAACCCTCCCGAGTTAATATAGGAGCCTTAATGATTAGAATAAGGTTTGGGGGTATATCACTCTTAACCCTAAAGCTTAAAATTACACTACAGCTGTAATAAGTAACCCCCAAAACCCTATTCTATTTTTTAAAAGGCCCCTACATTAACAATAGTTCGCTTCCGGCCCTGAGGGTTTTGGGTTTTGGGTTTGAGGTTTGAGGTTTAGGGTTTAGGCTTTAGGCTTTAGGCTTTAGGCTTTAGGCTTTAGGCTTTAGGCTTTAGGGTTTAGGGTTTAGGGTTTTAGGGTTAAGGGTTTTGGCTTTTGGGTTTATGGTTTCGGGTTTAGGGTTGAGGGTTTGGCGGTTTAGGGGTTTAGGGTTGGAGGTTTAGGGTTATAGGGGTTCTTAATCTTAAGCAACATACAATAGAGCTGTTGGGTATAGCATACTGCAACTCTATCAAGGAATAGTCGGAATAGCAATACTAAATATTAATTTTAATGCTTTCCGCATTCATCTTCATGGGAGCTGGGATTCGGGGGACCCTGGGCGATATAGACTCTCGCAATAAGGTTCCTATTAAGAGAGCCATAAGTAGGCTAAGAAGGGTCCCTCCCTCGTCCTGCCTAGGAATTCAACCCTCACCCCCTCACCTTGCTCCCGCAACCCCAAACCCTCCCGCACCTTGCTCCCGAAAGTGGCGGTGAAGAAGGAAATCACCGTTTCGGCAGTCGGGAGAGGAAGCCTAAAGGGATGTATATAGGACTCTAGGGCTTTGGAGCTGTCAGGGTTTAGATGGGTTGAAGGTTTTTTTGGCTTATAGGGTGCAGGGTTTCAGGGTTTGGGTTTTAGGGTTTTAGGGTCTTGGAGTTTAGGGTTTCTGTGTTTAGGGCTTAGAGAGGGCTTAAGCAGGGAGGAGAGCCAAACAGTTGCAGGAAGAGCCATCGTATTCATACGAGTGCCTCTTCCCTAAACCCCTTGCGCTTGCTCACATCCGAACTCCCGAAATCCAAACGTGAACTTGATAGGATCCTCTCATGGTCCCCGTCTGGTAAAGTTTCTTGTATGTTTTTGTATGCTATACATCTCGGATTCATTCCTGTTCCTGTTCGAACCATACATGCGCCGCTCCTGGAAGAGTGCCTTGTGCAGGCGCAGATGCTACCATGGAAGTTCCCGCTTTATCTAAAGCTTTCGAGTTTAAGGGTTTAAATTTGGCTCTCGAGTTTAAGGATTTAAATTTGGGGATTTAGGGAGTAATTCGAGTGTTGAAGAAGGTTTTCAATCGCTTAATTTCCAGCTCCAGGACACGGCGTTTAGGGTTTAGGCGTTTTGCTGCGAGCCTCGGCAAAAGGTCTTATCCTCCCAGGTACGAACGACAGGTAGCAAGGCGCAACATCAGCAGTACTGAAGCCAAACAGGGCGCTGACGATCAATGCCACAGCGATCCAGGTGATGTAGATGCTCACTGTGCAAGGACTAGTTGATACACATAAGATCATCTAACAGTATATTTATTTATTCATACACATACACATGCATATGATATGTGTATATATATACACATACATATTGACAAACTTTAAATTTCAATCTTATATCCCTATTTATATATATATATATGTACATATTAACTGAACCACTTTATCCTCTCATAATATATGGGTGGTTGTCAAAATTATGGTCCCTTTAGGGGTCCTTATTATAATACGGCACCTATTATTTAGGGTACCCCAAAAAGGGACCCTAATTTTGACAACCACCTATATAAACTGTACAGGCCAGGCGGCGGCGGTGGCATCTCGTCCTGGCCCCGCACGGCTCCAGAGCCATTTAGACTTCAGGGTTAGAGGTGACGAGCTCCGGCGCAGTTTAGGGTTTAGGGTTTAGGGTTTAGGGTATAAGGTTTAGGGTTTAGGGGAGGTCAGGAGGGTGAGGGCGGTGGTTCTTTGGGGGCAATCATCTGGCCCATTGGCTGGAAGATGTGTCCTGCCGGGTGTGTATTGAATGCAGGATTATTCCTTCGGCGTTGTGACTGAAGGACCGGGGTTCAAGTCCTAAACCCCGAGCCCTTAACATACAGCGGCAAAGACATCTCTAAGCACAACTCTGCATCTTTAAGTCACCATGGACAAGCTCCATGCGGACTCCAAAATGCTTATCTGGGCTGCCATAAACGAAACCAGGGGATTCAAAGACTCCGGGGGCCATCTGAATCCCAGACAGCTAGTGTAGGGGCCTAAATAATTACCAATACTGTGTTAGGGGTTCCTGATTCTAATGATAGTATAATGGGCCCCAAAACCCTGTTCTAATTATTCTGGCCTCCATATTAACACCCAAAGAGGAAACCCTGCAGTGTCTTGCTCAATCGGCAGCAAGCTGGCAAATTGAGAGCCCAGCACCTTGTGGATGCGGGAGTTTCGGGATTACGATTTCGGGGTAGCGCTTTAGGGTTGTAACCAAAGCCGCCGAAGCCTTCGAAGAGCTCTGGGCTTACGTACCAACAGCATCTTGCACGGCCCTAAGCCTTAGATATCAAAAGCCCACCAACCCGTAAAGCCCCAAAGCCCTGAAACCTAAGCTGAACCCTAAACCTTGAACCCCTAAAATCTTAGACCCTAAACCCCTAAACCCTAAACCCTAAACCCTAAACCCCTAAACCCCTAAACCCCTAAACCCTTAGACCCAAAACCCTAGTCTTGTGCTTATTTAGCCTGTCTGCCATGGCTGTGAAGGGCCTGGCCCCGGGCTTCAAGTCGTTCGGGGGTTGTAAGTCTAGGGCTTTTGGTTTTGGGTTTTTTCAGGGTTAGGGTTTATAGGCTTTAGGGTCTAGGGTTGTTGGGGTTTGGTTTTCTTTAGGGTGAGGGTTAGGGTTTATAGGGTTTAGGGTCTAGAGTTTTTGGGTTTGGAGGTTTTTAGGGTTAAGGGGTTCAGGGTTTAGTGGTTTAGGGTTTAGGGGGGACAATTAGGGTTTGGGGGTTTTGGGGTTGAGGGGTTAGGGGTTTAGGGCTTAAAGGCTCAGTCTACAGTTTGGAGGCTGTTGACAGCGGAGCAGCAAAAATGACAAGGGGTGGCAGATAACAAGAATACAACTGCTTCAATAACCTACTCCTCATGCCTTTGAACTGGTCCATCGGCCTCGTTTCACCCGGACAGAACAGCATTAAACCCTCGAGAGGACCATCCCCGAACCCAGTTCAACTATGTAGTTTACTGGGGTAAAGTCGTGTTGTACTATACTACGACGACTCTAACAGAACATGTGTAGCCATCACCGTGTCCCAAATTCCTTGCTCTGTTGGAGAAATACTAGCAGCCAACACAGGCCCAAAATTCAGAAGGGCCCTAAACCCTAAACCCTAAACCCTCAAACACGACGAGATGCGGTAACAGAGACAACAGCGCGAGTCTCACCAGAGGCCGAACAGCTGTCTGGAAAGCGCTTCCAAACCAAGCCGTTTTTCTCCACAATGTCTCCTTCCATGGGTACTATATTAAGTTGTGTATATCAATATCTTGTGATACAGTATAGATAGATACTGTGTGATTTTCATCTTCCTAGCATCATACTATGATGTAGTAATTACTCTGCGGATCTGGGTTTTGGTTCGCTGCGGTGACCCTGGTTCCATGAGCAAATTTCGGATCTGGACGGTTGATTTCTCGTGACAATACTTGAAGGCCCAGGGGACTTAGTAAGTCGGTTATAAGTGGGGTTATAGCTGGGGTAACTCCATTTAGAGTACTTATAACTCTACTTATAACCTACTTCCTAAGTCCCCTGGGGCTCCAAGTAGGGGAAGTCGTTTGGGGGTGCGTTTGGCGGTGCGACTCTCAGGGCAGGCAGGCGCCCTGCCCTGCACAGGCACAGGGCACAGGGCACAGGGCACAGGGCACAGGGCACAAGCACAACAAACAAGGCACAGGGCACAGGGCACAGGGCACGGCACAGAGGGCAGAGGGCAGAGGGCAGAGGGCAGAGGGCAGAGGGCAGAGGGCAGAGGGCAGAGGGCAGAGGGCAGGGCAAAGCACGATTCATGAACTCCTTGTCAACCTTATCGAGCCCGTAAACAACCTTCCGAGACTCCGTAAAGGTTTTTGGGGGTTTTGGGGTTTGGCTCAGGGTTGAAGGGTTTCATGGCTAAGTTTACCTCTAACCCAGAGGGTCCACATATACTACCATTATGGAATTAGGTCCCAAAAGACCATCCTTATTATGGTTTTGGGGACCTAATTCCATAATGGCAGTATATATGGAGCCTCTGGGTAAGTTTAGGGTTTAGGGTTTATCGTTAAGTTTAAGGGCTAACGGTTTAAGGGTTTAGGGGGTTCGGACGGGATAGGGCTTAGAGCCGATGCTGACTACACTATACTATACAACATATACTCTTATAGTAACGTACAATATGATATAGCATAGTATAGTATAGCATCAAGTACTATATTATTAGGATCGTGCAGTATAGTAGCGCCTTGTGCAGTATAGTAAATCCTAAACCCTAAACCTAAACCCTAAACCCAATGCCCTAAACCCCTAAGCCCTAAACCCCTAAACCCCCAAAACCCTAAACCTAAACCCTAAACCCTAAACCGTAAACCCCTAAACCCCTAAACCCCTAAACCCAAAGCCCTGAACCCTTAAACCCTAAACCCTAAACCCAAAGCCCTTAACCCAAAGCCCTAAACCCTAAAGCCTAAACCCTAAACCCCAAGCGTAGTCTAGCACAGCACACTTTCATTGCCAACATCTGCCGAGGCTCCGGTGTTCAAGGTGATGGCTTCCTCCTGGAGCAGTCCCTAAACGGTAAACCCTAAAACCCCAATGGGGCTCCTTTGAAGGGATCCTGAAAGTAATCAGATTAGGGCTCCTTTAAAGAGATCCTTAACGGGTTCTATAAAGGATCTATAATAGGGTCCTATAGTAGGGGCCTTAATAATTAGAACAGGGTTTTGGGGCCCAGTATACTATAATTTTGAGAAGGAACCCCCAAAATAGTATAGGTATTTATGTAGGCCCCTACATTCAACCATAAACCCTAAAACCCTAAACCCTAAACCGTGGCTCTGCACCCTAAACCCTCCTGTAGCAGCCGGCGCGCGTCAGCCAGAAGGGTGCGAGAGCACCTGCTCTGGACCCAGGACCCTCTGAAACTTTCTTTGGGTGGTAGGGTTTAGGGTTTAGGGTTTGGGGTTAGGGTCTGGGGTTTAGGGTTTTGCGAACTTATGGGATGTAAGGTCTTCACGGATTTAGGGTTTAGATGATCGGAGGCTTAGGCTAGGCAGTTTCAGGTTTTGGATGAGTTCAGGGTCGGCGGTCAGATTGTAGGCGCATGGAGCGGTCGTGGTGGTGTGCCGGTGCTGAAACAAGATCCTCAGTCTCCGAAGCCCCGAAATCATCTGAGATGCAGGATGAAGACGCTTCCGAGACCCGACCCCCAACTTCGCCCGACGGGATGAGGCTTAAATCCAACACCTTACGAACCAGAGCCCTGAATGCCAGGCCGCTCGCCAGCGATGGAAAGGCAACCTGAATTGTCAAATTGTCTTATAATCACAAGAACCACAATAGTAATTACTATTATTCATAATAATAGTTGATAATATTAATAAAAATATTAATAACAATAAAAATTTTAAGAAGAATCATTGATAATATTAACAACTGTTCTTTGGTATTGGGTTGCCAGCTTCGTAGGGCTCATGGTTTGGGAGGCAAAAGTGAGAACTGCAGCACTTGCAGGAAAACCACACAACCGCGGATTTTTGGGTTTAGGGACGTTTTGGGTTTAGGGCCGTTTGGGGTTTAGGGTTTAGGTTTTAGGGCCGTTTTGGGTTTAGGGTTCCAACCCTCTACACCCCAATTACTATCAATACCAAACAAACCCTGATTCCTACAACGCACGACCCCAAGTACAAACTCAAAAATATGTTCGGTATGTGCTGGACTGCAACCTTCGTCAAGACCAATGGCCATCGTCATGACCTCAGCGTGAACCAGCGCAGCCCCTCACACGTACCGAAGGATCCATAAATTCGGGCATCGGGTTTCAAGACACTAACACTGACAGAGACAATCAACCTGTAAGGTGCCTTTGCCACAACAGCAGATATGACACAGGTTACCAGTGGAAAGCTGTAGTAGCACCGCTGCCCCGACATGCTTGCGGCTGGTGTCATGATCTCGAATAATACCATTGCAAGCATAGCCGACTATTCGTTGCAATACTGTCATAAAAGCTACACCAACATCATGTGCATGTCTGGCCTACAGAGCCAGCACTGAATAAGAAAGCATTGAATAAGAAATCCAGCCCCTGGACTTGGGCGAACATGTGCTAGAATCTGCCACAACCAAGCACAAGGAAATACGAAATTCAGGGTCCCCTACCCCGGAAATTCAATTTCTTTTCCAATTTCTTAAATTCTGCCCCCAAAACCAGAAATGCAGGACCCTAAACCGTTACAGTACTTTGAAATTTGGGCTCAGGGCTTCGTGATTTACAGCTTCAGGTTAAAAGGGACAGGAATGAGTACCAGCACAGCACATTTTCAAGGACCTCAGAAGCACGGCTCCAGCGACAAACACTCTGCCGGCAATTTCTAGCAGTAGAGGTGACGATTTGATATCCGGGCGCTTGGACGGGTTTAGGATTCCTGCAGCAAGATGCAGCAAGCCGGCGACGGGTGGAGGGTTGAAGATTTGATCTGGGGTTTCTACCAAAAACACTGCAAATAAGAAATCCAGGGGCTGGATCTCTTATTTCCGGTTTTTTGGCCCTAACGTCCAGAAAGGAAAAAGGAAATTCAGGGGCTGGATTTCTTATTTCCTGGTTTTCCATGGGCCCAGGAAGGTTGTGCAGCAAGTCGGCGAGAGTTTCGGAATTCGCCCGAAGGTAAGCAGTCACGGTGAAGATTTGATATCCGGTCGGTGGACGAGTTTAGGATTCCTGCAGCAGATCGAGAATTTCGGTTTTCGCCCTTGCTGCACAATGTGGCGCACACATTGGCCGAAGGGGGAGGCAAAGGTGGTGGAGGATCAATAATCTGAACATCGCCATCCTCCAAAAGGCGGTTGATTACCGCCCCGGGCTCTCCGTCCATGTTGAGCCCTTGACGGCGCCAGAGGCGCACGATACGAAATTCAGGGTGCCCCAAACCTCGCGGGTATCACACATGACCTTGAACCGAGCGCTATTTAAATTAGAAATTCAGGTTACCCTGTCTCGGACACAGGAGTTTCTTATCCAACGCCGCCACTGTAATGGATAGACCTACTAGAACGAAAACGATCACTACAACTGGTACTGCAACTGCTACTGCCACACCAACAGCAACCATAACCACACCAATAAACACAACCACAACAACAACGACAACAACAACAACAACGACAAACAACAACGACTGTAACATCATCAACAACAACAACAAAAACAAAAACAACAACAACGACAACAACAACAACAACGACAACGACAACCACAACGACAACGACAACGACAACGACAACGACGACAACAACGACAACAACAACAACCAGAACAACAAGGCAACAACAACACAACGCTCTGCACCGCACACCAATTGCACATTGCAACGTT